AAGACAACCACCTGAAGCCCTGGGGACGGACCGGAAGCTCGGCGCCCGGCTATACTGGCAGCCCCCGCCAGACTAGCCGAAACGGGTGCACTGGCAGGGGGCAGCCAGTACCACCGCCCGCCGATACCCCCGCTCCTCCCCACAGACCCCCAATGGCTGACCGAAGAGGCGAAAGAAGGCAGAGCAATATCAAAAGTATTCACAGGAGTAGCATCACAACCACTGTAGTGCAAAGAAAAAAAAATCCCGAAAGACCAGATCACAACCTTAGAGAAAACTCATTCGAAGATCCGAAAGAGGAAAATGAGAGGAGAGACTATTTAGTCAACAAAAAAATACTGAACCCGAATTGTGAGGTTCATGAAAGAGATAGGAAAAGAGAGAGATGTAGTTTAACCTCGTTAACTGCAGGTCGGAAAACTATACTATACAACTAGTGAAACTAATGTGGAGAATGATCGACACAACGAACAAGAGAGCTATTCCACGTCCCGTATGCCTAGCACTTGCAGAGTGTCCATTTTACGAATGGCGTTTTTGAAGCATGCTGAATTTTTTAAGCGTAAAAGAGTAGTTGGTAAACGTTCCAGCCATTTGGCGACTCTGAAAAAGAACGAACTCGTACCCTGAGACGGTTTGAGCTGGGTAACTTTAGTCGAAAGGCAAAACCGCCGTTACGCCCGTACACCGGACGAAATGACCAATAGCTAGAAGGTCTCAGTCTAAGCTCGCCTCTAAGAAGTTTGAACGCTAAGATCAAGTCAGCTTCTACCCTTCTGTAGAAAAGACCCTTGAGGTTCAACTCGCGTAAACGAATTATAAGGGAGTAAATTTTGCGGATAGCCTGGTCAGAGAAGGCGCGGTAATAGAGCACTCTAGTAAAAATCCTCTGTACATTCTCGATTTTATTAATCTCTTTGGAACGGTAAGGGCTCCATACAGGACCACAGTATTCAAGTAATGGCAGAACGAACATTTTGAAAAGCTTGATCCAAAGAAAAATATTTGAGCTCATCACATTTCGAAAAAGACAATGCAAAACTCTCAAACCCTTGGCCGTCACTGCGTCAACATGGTTCTCAAAATTCAAGCCCTTGCCGACTAGAACGCCAAGATCCCGCACTTCCCTGCCCGTTAACATGTTTCCTAGCTCATCGTTACAAACGTTCAGTGTAAGAGGTCCAATAGGGAGGTGCTGACTTTTGCGAAAATTGAGTTTGAGATTCCAGAAATTGGTCCAGTGCAACATGCGTTCGACAGATTCAGTCAACGCCAGCTGAACTGCCTCTTTTTCTGTTTCACTATAAACCGCAGTGACTTTGATGTCATCAGCGTATGCATGGACAAAAATTCTCGTATCGGTTTTTAGGAACGCAGGTAAATCATACGTATAAATGAGAAATAGTATGGGCGACAGTATCCCTCCCTGCGGAACGCCCGATAAGCATTCCCTAGGGTAAGAAAAGTCTTGAGAGAAGCGCACTATCATCTTTCTGTCCGTGAGATAAGAACAGAACCAATCTAGCAGATTGCCTTCTATGCCTATAATCCGCAATTACCTAAAAGGCACTCGTGACAAACAGTGTCAAAAGCTTTACTAAGGTCAAAATAAACTACATCCACACCTTTCCCTTCACCTAGTGTTTTATTCCAAAGATGCAAGCAATCTATCAACTGTGAGCAGGTGGAGGATCCTGCTAAGAAACCGTGCTGTTCTATGGGAATAAGGTTCAAGTGATCTAACCAATCGAGCAGATGTTTCTTAATGATCCTCTCAAGAACTTTTAGTGATGCAGGGAGGATACTGATCGGGCGGTAATTGGTGACAGTGGTAGACTCTTTCCCTTTTGGGATCGGTGTCACCACTGCAGCTTTCCAAGGTTTAGGTACCTCCCCTGTCATAAGAGAAATGTTGAAAATGTGACTAAGGGGAACGGAGAGATGGGTGGGAAACATTTTGTAAAAAACCTGCGGTATGCCGTCGGAAGTAATCGACTGTGACGTTTTCAGGGTTTTGATTTGTTTAGCAACCATTTCGGGAGTGATAATAGGCAACCTTAGGCTTTCATCAGTCACTTTCGCCAGGTTACTTCTGCATTCCATATGGGAAGTAAAAGTACTGCGAAAGAATCCAGCAAAAGCCTCCGCTTTTTCAAAATCTGTACTGCAAAAAGATCCATCCTCACATATGAGCACTGGGTGAGAGACTGACCGCTTTGTCCTGTCCTTGATATAAGAAATGATCCCCTTCATGTATTTAGTCTTGGCGAGCAATCTGGTTTTGTATGATATAAACTTCTTCAAATGGTGCTCAAGTTCTGACTGACAGTTTTAAAAGTTACGCAGTGCAAGGGGTCACGAGATTGTTCAAATATTCTTTGCCTTTGTTCAAAAAGATTTCGAATGTGGTCAGGATACTTTCCTAACCCCTGCCTGCGAGTTTTCCGTGGTACATATTGATCAATGATCCCATGCTTGATACGAAGAAAACGGGTGTAGGCATCATCAATGTCCAAAAAATCATAGAAAACCTTGAACCAGTCAATAGAAGATAAAATAGTTTTAATCTGATTTATTTTGGCATGATTGAAATCCAAATAAGTAGTATCAGCCAGCTCCCTATTAGGGACCGACAGAGAAAAGCCAACAATGTTGTGATCAGAATTACCCAAAAGTGGGTGCAAGGAAAAGTCCTTAAGAGACTCCGCATTAGTCAAAATAACGTCTAATATCCGCTCCCCTCGGGTAGGGAAACGAACATGTTGAAACATATTCAAGGAATCAAAGGTAGAAAGGAAATGTCTTGAAATCGAATTCGCAGCAGTATTGGACCAGTCAATATCCAGATTCAAATCTCCCGCCAGAATCACTATTGATTTGCAAGAAGATACAAGATCAGATACCAAGGACAGAAGCAGGTCATCCTGCCTCGCAGTGCTCGATGGGGGTCGATAGGTCAGGATGAATCGATAATCATTCACAGAAGAATCATGACATATGCAATCGAAACAAAGAAGTTCTGCTACGAGACCCTTGAGAGAAAACGTGACTTCTTTGAAAAGAATGGAACTATTGATTAAAGCACACACACCTTCCCCTTCTTCCCGATCGATCTTTTCTAATCAATGTGTAAGGCAAATCTCCACAAATCTCGCCATCAGCAACATTTGAAGTCAACCATGACTCGGTAATCAATACAATAGCTGGCTTCGATTCGGAAAGAAGGTGCTGGAGTTGTGTAAGCTTATTTAATAAACTTCTAGCATTAAGCAAAAAACCTCCTTTGCTAGACGAGTTCTTCAGTTTTTTGAAGCATTGACACGAGAAGGAAGATCTGCTACTTTTACAATTTCACTTTTATAAAGTACATAAGTTCGCTTACCTTCTTTGGTGTTGAGATCACGAATTGTGGCGCGCAATTCTTTTTCGCGAAGCCTTTCATCGAGAGTCATTGATTTACGCACAAAAACTTTGCTGTAGGTCATGTTGTTTCTGAGACGAGAAGATTTTGCAAGCAAATCACGACAAAAAAAGCGACTTGGAAAAGTACACTTAACCAACCTTGGTTTATCCGCGCTAGGTTTTCCCATCCTATAGATTTCTGAAGGACGATACTCGATATCCAAAAAATTGAGAACACCGAAAACGAATTTTTCAGTGTGTTCTTGACGCGAAAGTGCAGGAAGATGAGAATCGCCTTCAGGAATACCATAGAATACTACTGACCTCTCTCGTTTTTCGGTTTCAAGAAACTTGGACGATAAAGAAAGAAACTTACCTACGAACTTTTCGAGGAGAGGCACAGCTTCCGGGGCTTTTTGACTGATTATGCCGTGAATCTGATTCAGAAGTTCCACGGCATCGTCATCCATTAGGGGGGTGGCACAGGGAGCAACTGGGGATGAGGGCTTTCTTTTTTTCGGTAGCTGTGATGGAGTGGCCGGCATTTCAGGGAATCAATAGAGTATCGGCCGCTCAGGATGACCGCACGTAGTCGAATGAGGTCATGAGTTTTAGAAGGGGAAAAGCATAACAGAGCCCAAACCTTCAGCACTTCTTAGCACTAGAAACGCTTTGAATGGCTTTTCCACTGCAGTCACACTTTCTTCATGCTAGCCTTCGAGCATCGCGAAAGCTAGGTTTGACTTGTAAATATAGTCAAAGTTTACCCGCACTAATAAATTTGTTGATTAAAAACCAGAACGGTTTCTGGACTTAATTCCTCTAAACACTTCAATACAACATTCAAGTGAAATCATACCACATTCAAGTGAGTCATTAGGCGGAAAGTGTGATAGTTGGCAATTGAGAGCTCATCGCCTTGAGATCTCAGGGTTACATGAAAATGGTATTTACACGAAGATCATTTAATACTCATTTTTTATGTGTGTAGTTGGCCGTGTAGGCGGCTCAAACAGATGCATCGATGCAATTTTCTCAACTAAAATGCTGAAAGGCTTGGGATAAAAGAAGAGTATTCCGATTTTTTGAGCTGATTGCTCAGGATTGCTAATTGCTTGACTTATTCGTTCTTTTTCGGTTACAGGTTTTATTTTCGGATATACAAGTCTGATTCAGCTGCATTCTGAGACTGATTTCTAAAACCTGAGTTGTATAATAGGGTTTTTCCGTGCTGACTTCACTACCCAACTTCATGCCTCTCCAAAGCTTTTTAAATGGTGCAGTCACAGGTTGGAAAAAATTAGTTGACATGACATACTTAGCATGATTTAGAGACTAACTTTATAATAATGTGCAGATCTCAAATCTGAATTAAGCGACTCTTAGTTAGATGTGTTTTCAGTTGTTTCTCTTTTCATTTGGTTCTGAAACGTGGCTCCTTTATTGGAAAACCTTTTTGAAGCTTTTGTAATCCTACAGTAATGAAGAGCGATTAGTGCTTTGCTGTCGTTAATCCAAGTTGAAGCCAGCTCTAAAAAAGGCTCTTGAAATTAGGCAACAAACTTCTTGAGAAAAGAGATATTGAGATTCCAAAAGTATATAGATACTCTTAAGACACCCTGTGTAATAGAGCGTGTTCAAACGAAAATCACAGATCTTGAGCAATATCAACCCAGGTTAACCGCTCTGCACTGAAGATAGCCATGCTAGCCTTTAAAAGCGCATTCTCTTGAATCTCATCACTGACTAGCATCGAATCACTTTACCAGTCTACTTCGAGGAAAGAATGAGCTTGAATACTAGAATTTGAAGAGCGAATTGCGGTTGAGCTTAAGAAAAAAGGCAGACCACATAATCCTGTCAAAATAATTTTTTTAACGAGGTTGTGAAAGCGCCGAAATCTAATCTGGTGTTGTATTGCTAGATTATGTTTCATACGAATAAAGTTTAGAGCTGCTCCATCCCAAACTTCTGCTTGCAAACTGCATTGGTTCTACCAGTCTCGTAGTCTACTCAAAATTCAACTGCTTAAAGTCATTTTCTATCGTGAGCATAAAGAACATAAATACAGATACCTCTATTTCGAAAAATGACAGAGTGATAACAGCAAAAATTAACCAAAAATGAAGACTTTACTTAGAAGACAACTTCATTTTCGATACTTTGATTTGCTCGTAGTTTTGCCATGGTTTGGCATAATAGTGTATCTTGTAAACCTAAAAAACAGAACATTTCTTTTTGAAAAAACAAAGGTGCCAAATACTAACAGCTCTCTTGCCTCTGAGCATCACTCTGCAATTAGCCGTCCGCAAATTGACAAGATCAACTTTCTGGAAACAAAACTTTCATACTGTTAGTTCAAAGGTAAGAGGAGATTTGATAAACTCCTTTCAAGGAAGTTGAGGTAACGACTACTACTTTCCAACAGTGTTGAACTTACGTTTTTCTTGCAGTTGGACTCGCCGTAAAGGATCCTCAAATCATAAATGATTCCATCGACGACTTGACTTTTAGCCATGACAACCTAAAATTCAAGTCATCCCGTCAACAACCGTTAGACTGAAACAAAGTCAAGGCTTTGATCCGCCCAAAACATCCAACGGACGAGTCAGATTTGAAACCAAGAATGTTGGTTAATGAATAGGTTCCATTCAATTTGATTTATCGTCGAATTCATGGCTTTAGAGCATGGATGCAAGAGTATCAGCGTCTGAGGAAATTTATCACTTGCTAACGAAATCAAACAAACCCTCATTGGTATCATAACATAGGAAGCAGTAGCAGCGGAGTCTTCATTGAGCATTTTTGTAGCCTTCCAAGCTATGTCCTGCAGTGTTACAAGTTGTTACATTAGAGATTTTGCAAGATTTGAACACCTACCATATACTCAGGGCTGCTCGGGTCCTGGTCCTGTTTCCTTCCAGTCGTCATGTCCTGCAACTTATGTTGTTTTTTGACAAGGCTAAACTTTCTGCCTCTACATTTTCAAACGTTTAACTGCTGTTTCGACTTCATCTTGTTTCATGAGCTGGCATTTTTACATTCTCCCCGACTGATATTGCGCTGACTGACCATAAAGTATCTAGCTTACATTTGAAATCCAAACTTGTTTCAAAAGTAAACTATCAGGCTGGCATTTACAAATGTGAACAAAATTTGTTAGATATATTAAAAGCGTTCAAAGAATAAAAACCCAAACTTTTCTTTCTTTTCGCGAGTGAGGTATTAATTTTCGCTTCTTGCAAATTCGCTGAAGTATTTCAGAGGAGCACATGCACAGCTTAAAATAAAAGACATAAACCTTATTTTGATCTGCGCACGAATTGATTCTTTTTGACACATCTGTCTCATGCATTATAGTACAAACATAACAATTATCTCTTCAATCATTGGTCTTCAAACCTGACCTTTACTTTAGATACTTGAATTTGTTCGTAGTTTTTCCATGGTTTGGCAAAATAATGTATTTTGTAGACCTGAAAAAATCAAGTTGATGAATGAACGAAAATAGGCCAAAAACTGACAGCCATTCCTTTGTTCATCACTCCGCAATTGGCCATTTTCAGTTTGGAAAGGTCGACTTCCTACAAAATTAATTATGATTCATTTTCTCACATGTGTTTGAACTCTGCTAGAGGCATCAGATCACGTTATTATAAATGCATAATGATAGTGCAAAATATCAGTTTCTAATATGATTGCAGCTGGCTCGAGCATTTGGCAAGGTGAAAACTTACGTCCTTCCTGCAACCAGATTCTCCGTAAAGAACTTCCAAGTCATATATAACTCCAGAAACTACGTGAGTTTGAGCTTTCAGAACCTGAATTCAATATCAAAACAACATGACTCAGCCTATTGTAATTGATTAATTACTATAGGGCAAGACTTCTTGAAACAACAAATCTTGCATTCCTTAGAGTACGCGGTGAAAAAGTGTTATACGACAAAGTGTATAGGTCATTTTCAAAATCGTGACGACGGATTTGACTGCGGTCTGCGCCCAGAGGAGCATAAAACACTTTTACAAAGAGGCATAACCTCAAAGCTTAAAGGCACCGTCCATCCTAAGTTGAGAGTGTTGAGCTTTTGATAGCATATAACAGTAGGGCCTCCTATCAAGCTAACGCCTAAGTTGCGGCGCAAAATGCCGCTTCGGAAGTGAGAAAATCGCTTAGAAAAGCGAAGAAGCACGAGGATCCCCCATCCATGCCCGCCCATTTGTGCGCGCTCATCCAATCACATTTCTGGAAAGCCGGCTTGCAAGTACTCTGGAATGGGAATTTCCGGGACTTTCGCGGATTCTCGATTTCCGTTTGGAATCAGGAACATGAGAAGGCCCTGAAACGACGAAAACCTGAGTCGAGAATCTGAGTGAACGGGGCCTTCAAATCAGTCACTTCCAGTGTGTGAAGATATCACATTTGAGCAGAGAAACCATTCAAGTAACAATGAAAATCAGGAAGATGCTGTTTCCGGATGACTCGTTCGTTGCGCGCGGCCAAGCCATCGTCACGATTTTTTGAATGCCCTATGCAGTGATCTTATTTCGAGGACGAGGTCCGTTTTTGTACTGGTGCGGAAAGAACGAATGATTTTGTTATATCTCGTTTGTTTTCGTAGTCGTAACGCCAATAGTCAAATCATCTTCGATTCATGAAATTATACCTCGCATGCGACAAAACTTGCAAGTGTTGTATAATACTGCAACCGCTTAACAAAAGATGGTCTCTGGGAATGATACACCAAAAAATAGGTCTCAAGTCTGTTACCTGCCTAGGTACCTAATCCGCACAATAATTTTACTGCATTTTTATCTAAAGAGTAATGTGCCTAGGAGACAATAACCTAGTCAGTATATTAAAAATACCTTAAGAACGTCAAAACATAAGAATATCTCTGATCTTCTTTAAACAACCTCCACTTTTTATGTTCATATGTTCAAACAACCTTCACTTTTGACGCCCTGTCTCTAGGCATGAGCACATGTTTGTGCGTAAAAATTGTGTTTTGACAGGTTGAAACCGTGTGCGCACACAATCCACTACTCGCACTTGTAACGTGTTACCTTACCTGTAACCAGTAAAATTACGTTAATCTGCTGAGCCCTGCCTCAAAAGTAGTATTATATAGTGTCATGAATACTTCATCAACTTTCAGTTTCTTATAGCGCGGAAGCTGTAAAGCAAACACTCCTACGGATTCGACCAAGTAGGTGAAAATCAAAAGAAATCGCTACCTGATCGATTTGTCTAGCCTTCGAAAGGTAGCCAAATAGTAGTAGGAAAGAAATTCTGTGAGAGGAGGCTTTCGACATGTAAGGGACTATAACTCGACTTGTTATCGTTTCTTCGAAGCCTACCCTCAATAAAACTGTGGCACTACTAATCGAGAATTTGAGACTAGTTATGAATTTGCGGCAAGATATGAGATGTTCTGGCCATGAATGCTTCAAGTGTTTTTGGAGACGAATGCAAATGCAAACCCTGATTGGCATCATGGCATAAGGTCCAGGGTTTGCACCGTAGTTCTCATTGAGCGTTTTCGCAGCCTTCCATGCGATATCCTTGAATGAGATAATTATAAGATATTCACCAAAATTCGAAGATTGAGATTTTAGCATTTACCATGTATTTAGATCTGCTCGGATCATCTTCTTGTCCTCCTCCTGCCATCGTTGCCGTAACCGTATCCTGTGATTCAAACATGATTCAAATCAAGTTGCTATGACTCTGCATGTGTTCAAAGACCACTTCGGTGTTTTTACTCGTCAGCGTATTAGCTTTCACGCCTATTATAGAAATATCAACGGCTAGTGATTGTTTCAAACGTACTTTTGCATCTGATCGATGAAAAAAGTGTTTTGTTGGCACGCTTCATGTTTGTTCACTTTAGCTGTTCCTCTAAGCTCGTTGATTGAAGAGTACAACTTGAAGGTTTTTTAAAGTAGTATGCACAGGAAATTATCACACGAAGGTAACTTAATTTGGTGACTTTTTGTTTCCTAACACTTTCCGATTTGCTATCATCATCAATTGGTCGCTTCAAGAAATAATACTTCAAGTTGGAAAAAAATACATCATAGGCTCTGTTGATTTGCTCACAAAGAGGACTTGAATAATGTGCCTCATGCATTTTGGCAGTGTGAAGAGAATTTTGTGCTCAGGTAAGAGAGAGTCTTGTAACTGACCTTCACTTTTGAAACCTCGATTTTTTCGTAGTTCTGCCAAGGTATAACGTAATAGCGAATCTTATAGATCTGAAGGTGGAGTATCAACAAAATTCTCGGAAATCATCTGAATACGAACAGTTCTTCTCCCTTCGTCCATCACCTTGCAATCATTCGTCTTCAGTTTGACAAGGCTGACATTCTGTAAGTAGCATTTCTTGGTTTATGTGGTCCAATTATGCAAGATGCTATCAAGTCAGTGGATGGAATTTCCGAAAACGAAGATGAGAAGTTGTTGAGCGTTTCCGAGATTTCAGAGCAGGAAAAAGCAGAACTTACATCTTTCGTACAATTTGATTCACCGTAGAGAACCTCAAGTTCATAAATGACTCCAGCAACTACTTGGGTTTGAGCTTTCAAAACCTGTAATATCAACCAGCGTGGTAACAATAGCGAAATTGAAATAGAAGTGCTTGAACTTGCAGTAGGATTGCAAATGCCTGAGCAGCAATACCTTCGCTTAAATGCACGATAAGGAAGTGTGTGCTTAAAAGAACCTAAGATTTATGTTCAATCAAAGAACTTCTATACTATGTACTATGACTCTCTGACTGATGCTGCCTCCAATGTGCTGTTCCTAGTTCAAGCTCTGGCAGAGTGACGAATGCAGCACTGATATGAAATGCTATGAGCAACGGTTTAAGGTGCAACCCCTGCTGAGGGTTAGATTTGTACGCTCCGGGATATCATTAGCTACTAGGTGCTGGAAAGTGAAGCACTAATTTTGTAACAGGATAACTCCATTCAAAACATTGAAATTTGGAAAGCACAATAGTATATAAAGTTTTCTTTTAAATAATTGTTAAATGCGTAGGAAGATGCAATACATACAGGATTCGCAGAAAGTATCGTAGACTGCACTGTACTCGCAGAGAGTATTGTAGTTTCAAAGTCTCTTATTCTTTACTCGAACTGACAAAATCACTATGCAAACCTCAACTGGCAGCATGGCATGGGAACCGGAGTTCAAAGCAGCGTCTTCATTGAGCGTTTCCGCAGCTTTCCATGCGATTTCCTGAATTGCTCTTTTCGATTTTCCGCTTACTTGGAATTATATTAAGCCGATTTCGAAAATTCTGGGAGAAGTCAAAAAATTGCGGACGAGCTTTTCATTTCTTCGATATAAACGTGAATGAATTGACGCATAGCTCATCAAAAGAAGAACGGCAGAATTGTTACCTGAATCTCATGCATATTTCAGCGCAGGGAAGTTGATGCCCAGGTAGCCAGTTAGGCGAAGGCGTCGCCAGGGGACGACCACAGTTTGCCAGAAACTGTGCCGGGGGTTGCCGAGGTTGCCGGAGTTGCCAAGCTTGTCGGCGTTGCCGGGGTTAGAGACAGCTCAGAAAGCGCGAGAAACGTAGAGGATATGAGGTCCTACAACGACCTGCAACCAGAGCTCGGCACAGATTGTCTGGAAGCATGCTGGACTTCGTTTCTGGAGCAAAAAACAAGGGGAATTCGTTTTTGACGAGTCGGGGCCGAGCACAAAGAATAAGCGCCATTTAGTCGAACACAAGCTTTCCGGAAAGGTTATCACACGATTGACATGCTCTATCGTTTATGACGAAAAGTGCGCGCAATTTGAAAGCAAGACTGAAATAAACAAATTGCTTGTTTACAGCGCACACAAAATCATATGACATCAAAATTAAACTGTATACTTAGAAAATTATTTGCGGAAGAGTTATGTATAAAGATTTGAAAACTTATGTGAAGTAATACCTTTTCCAAAATTAGATCGTCTCCAGATGGCAGATGGCTCTGGAGCATATATTTTCGTCACTTCACATAAGTTTCGGATCTTCTTAGCATGGACGGATGTCCCGGTCAAGAGTCTATCCCTGAGCATAAAAGCATTCTCATATCACCCCCTGTCCGTCGTTTTTTAACCTTTTTTTCCCGAAAATCGCCTTACTAGATATCGCGCCCCAGCGTCAACTTTTTTGCATCCTCTCCTTTTCAATTCTCATTCTCAGTTCTAGCTTTTTTCAAGATTTCGATGATTTCTTCCATTCTTCTTTCTTCTTCTTTTTTCAACTCGTGATCTAATTTGAGCGTTCTTGATTATGTATGATGATGTATGTATGATTAAACCACAAAATCCACAGAGCTATGTATGATGATGTATGTATGATTAAACCACAAAATCCAATCCACAAGCCGGCTTGAAGCCAAAACTCTGTGGATTTTGTGGTTTCTCTTTGAGAGTTTGACCTGAACTCGCGAAATTCTCAGCTCGCAGCAATGGTTTTGTTAAGAACTAAGTGAGTATGCAAGGATCCACCAACAATCGGAGGGGGTAAGCGAGGATCAAAGAATACTTCGTAAAATTTTGAAAGTTAGGGGTACTCCGTTTTCAAAAAGCCTAGAAACGGACTCGTACCGGGCCCTGCCGGCAACCTCGGCAACGTCGGACACAGTTGCGACAACATATGGCCGTTTTCTAACAATAAGATGACGGACCCAGCTTGTAGGCACTCATAAAGAGGATCGTGTTTTCAAATCTCGATGAAGTTCTGTGGAAAAGTAAGCAACCCACCATATACTCAGGTTTGATGGGGTCCTGGTCGTGCTTCCCTCCGGTCATCATTGCTTCATGTGTGAATACCACAGCGTAGATTACGACAAAAGCGGCGATAATGTACATGCTGTCTGCTAAATTCCAGTAAGGATATACCAAATAGAATATTTTTACTACCCCATAGCAGACTTTGCGAACAAACACTTTGGGGCGAAGTGATGCCGTAGGCCACATTTGTTGCGGATCGATATCGAATCAAAACGTAAAAGTGGCACAGGAAAATGCTGCGTAGAAGTGCTGACGGAAAGTTGAAGTTAATGTTGTTATGATGACAAGGACCGAGCGAGCCGAGAACCCATTGTTATACTTTACTTTAACGCGAATAAAAGATCAAAATAGAGATTTGCGAAGAATTCACGACTTTAGTGGTTGATAAGATTTTCTTGAAAGCTGCTTTCGGAACTTTTCTTTCCTCTGGTCATAACTGACTCTCTTTCCAAAATATTGGAACATAATAGTTTCTTTGGTTATCATTTCGTTCGGATGTTTTAAGTAATACTGTGCAGCAAAATTGCGTATGTAAAGTTAAAAGTGTCTTATTGTATCTACAATTGAAGAGTCTCAAAGTACTACGCCAATTTAGTGTTCCTTCAAAAGTAGATATTTCATTTTCTTGCTAGAAGTCTTCAGGTTCTTTTTGGAAATTCGCCACGTACAATCCTTCTTTGAACAAAGTTAACTAGAAAGCGATCTTAATCTGCTGTGTTTTGCTCTTTTTGATGCTAGCAATTAACTGATCATATGGTGGGAAGTGAAGAAGAGCTGCAAAAGGATGGCAAAATCTACTGTAAGGGGAAAATGTTCATGGTAGTAAGAATATGTAGCGGTACAAAACGGAAAACTTTACGAATAAAAAAACGGCGATGCTTTATGGCTTGCATGTCGAAACAATCAAACTAGCTGTTTTGCCGGCATTGAAAAAGCAATTTGAGCTTTTGATGGAAAAATAAAGTTTTATGACACATCAAATGCATTTCTGTAAGCCCTGCGACGCAGCAAAATCTTGACTGATAGTTTTTTGTGCGCTTTTCCGTTACAAGAGAACACCTTCTTGCTAGGTATCCTTCATTTTTATATACCGGCTCCAAATTCGTGTGGAGGCGGATCATGACGACTCAAAGCATGGCTTTTTTGATAGCGAGATCTCAGATAATTGCTGGGACAGGCGGACCGCCTCGCGATTCGGTCAGCAGAATTTTGGGTGTGGCCAAACTTTCAACGAGTGGTACTTCCGTTACTGTCGCATATTCTGCCAGCGGGCAGCAACACAGCATTTTCTGCGAGCGATCGTCAAAAAATCTGTTTCAGCGAGCGCTGGCCAAACTTTTAGCAAGCGCTCCGACTCTTTCTACGCAGTTGAGCGTACGCCGAACAAAGGTAAAACTTTCTGTGGAAGAGGTATCGATGGTTTGATTACAAGAGTTTGCGTACTTTCTCTCGGCGGAAAGTACCTGTGGACTGGCGGTCCTTCACGAGGGACCGTATGGCCTTCAACAATTTTGCATATTCTCGCGGGAAGTCCACGAAAGTGCGACCACTGCGCCGCAACTATGAGAAAGCAGCGATTTTTCTATAAACGTTCCTCTAAAAATGGCCGGTCATCTTCCAAATATCTGCAAGCAGACAGCAAGAAATCAGCGAACTATTTTTCCGGTGCCCGTTTGCCTATAGATAGCATGGCCGCATACCCCGGCGATTCTCTGAGGTAGGCACGAAAAGTAATGCTAAAACGAGGAGGTTCTACAAGTCAATCTTATTTTCATTCTTATTCTTTATTTCAGCCATATATCACTTAATCACCTAGGCACACTTTTTTTGACGAAATAGACTGAGTTCTAAAAAGAAAAAAGAACCAACGATGCATGAAAAAGCACAACAAACATGGATCCGAAACCAAACACAAAAAGAATGGAAATAGTGTCTGGCGATAAAGCCATCCCACTTTGTACTAAGATATCATTAGATTACGCGATCTCAAGTATTCCATGAGCTGAGGGTAGAAACTAGTTGATGATGAGTACCTGAACAGTTGAAGATCTAGAGAATTCCAGAGCATCTGCACGCGGCAGATGAAGCATTGCTTATATGATGCAAACTGGGTTTTTCAATGCGAATTTAAAACTGTGACCCCTCGCATAGTTCGTACGATACGTATGTTCGAAGATATCGTATAAGTCGAGATCCAGCTCATTTGTTGTAAGTTTGTACATAAATGTTAAGTCGGCGAGAAGTCTTCTATCCTCTAAAGTATTTGCTTGGAGTTTCTTCAGCCTGGCGAGATATGATAACCCGAAAATACCCTTCCGAGCAAAAATTTTGTAAGTGAAAAATTTCTGGACTTTTCTATTTCTTCTATCAAGGTCTTACTTTGGGGGGACCAAAGTGGTGTACAATATTCAAGAAGTGGTCTAACGTAAGTAAAAAATAATCTAAATAAGAGCAAAGGATCTCGGCTTTTGAAAACTTTCAAGAGATAATTAGACTGACACCTTGCCTTTGATGTAATTTCATGTATGCAATCATGAAAATCAGATGTGCTTGAACATCTAAAGCCTAAGTCCCGAATTACATGAACGCGGCGCAAAACCGAGCCGTCAAACATGAAATCACATTCGGGGTGGATTTTTTTCCGAAACCCATGATGGATGTCTTTTCTTTGGAAATACTCAGTACCCAGGCTGTTGATCAAAGGGCAAGAAAATCTATGGCGTTTTGTAGCAGGGGGGGGGGGGGGGGCGGCATCATCAATGGTATATATCTTGGAATCAACGGCATACATCGAAGAAAACGTACCCGCAGGAAGTACATCCGGGAGGTCATTGATGTAAATGAGAAATAAGAGAAAGCCAAGAACAGATCCTTGAGGTACAACGCTAGCTGTTGGGTCTACACATAAACGAACGTTGTTATAACTACCGACTGCCGCCTACCATTTAGGAAAGAATTGTTCAAGCTTCAAGCATATGGTTGGCAAAAAATTGTAAAGTGACCCCTGAATACCATATGCTTGAAGCTTGAGGAGCAGCAAGGATATGTCAAACGAGTCAAATGCTTTACTATAGTCGACAAAGCAAACCGAAACATATCTACCTCTGTCCACTTCTCTATGCCATAAGGGGACCGTAAACATTAAGGCGGATACGGTTGATCTTTTGCTAAGAAAGCCATTTTGCGCCGCCGACAGAAGATTGTTTTGAAAAAGGTTTTCAAGAATTCCCTGACAAACCAACATTTCCATCACCTTACATGTGGAACATGTAAGACAAATAGGACGGTAGTTTTTAACAGTTGACCTAAGTCCTTTTTTGTGTATTGGTTTAACTAGACCAAGTTTCCAAATTTCGGGATCTTCTCCTCTCAGAAGAAACCTACTGAACATTATTGTAATAGGAGAAGCAAGTCCTAGAGCGGCGTTTTTCAAAAATATGTATGGTATGCCATCTGGGGACGTTGAATTTCTTTTTGGAAGTCGATGAAGCATTCGGTAGACAGAGTCGGATGCGGTGCAGAAGGAACCAAAGGCCTGCCGCTTGTAGCCGTAGGAGATAATTAGGAGCGCGAGCGCTGAGGAGAAGATTTTGGCAAGGATCCAGGAAAATTAGGAAAGGACATCCATTAGAAACAAACTCTTATAACTCTTCTCAGAATTAGCTTTCAAGTATACGAAGGACACATTTGGAATCAGTATTCAATGCGCATTTTTTGAGTAAAACGCCTACCTGATAGATAAACTACTCTGTCTCACTACTCGAGTCCTATTCCCGGTCTTCAACAATTTCTGTGATTTCAAAATTCATAAAACAAAAAGTTTGTATAAGAAAGTTAACTTTTCTTACCATTACAATACCAAATTTTCACTTACTTTTAGGCCTAGTGAATGTGTCTGCCAATTTGCATTATAAATCTGTTTTTCAAAATTTTCAAGGCCATCTCCAGGCAAATTATGAAGACATGTTCCGAAGGGATATCTTTGCCAAGTTTTCTTGGACCCTTGCCACAGTATTCTCCATAGCGCTCGCGCTCTTAATTATCTCCTACGGCTACATGCGGCAGGCCTTTGGTTTCTCCTGCACCACCCCAGAGTCTGTTGTAGTTTCAACCAGTCGAGTTTGCCATCTGTTCTACAATCCAAAAAGGCATTAGTAGGTGTATGACAACGGTAAACGCTCTCGAAATTATTAGCAAATAAGTTGGCTTTTTGCTGACCACCTCGATAGATATGCTCGTTTTCCTTCAAATCAGGTATGCAATCGGTCTGCTTAAGTTTTCTTTTACAGTATCTATAGAATCCTTTACTATTTTTTGAGCGTACAACCTTGCTCTCGCAATTTTCCATCGCGATATTTCTCGCTTCAGTTTTGTGGCTAGAAAAGTGTACCTTTGTGAGCCTAAGAAAAAACGATGTCGATGAAAATATGCTACTTTTGCATTTAACTTATATAATTTCCTGAACCACATTTTTTCCGTAATGGTATAAACCTATCAGTTAGATGCCGGCAAATATCAGTAAAACGTGAATAACAATCATCTGGACTTTCACATCCAAGTAAGATGCTACGCCATTCTAACGAGTTTAGCTCCCGTATTATTTCCATGTGATTTGCTTTATTATAATCGAATGTAACTATGTCATCATACCTATCCAGGCTGCCCTCAACAAGTTTGAAGCTAATTACATTGTGATCCGAAGTACTAAATGGCAGCAACAGGCAGACGTCATAAATCAAGGATGTGTTGTTGACCAGAATCAAATCGAGGGTATTCAAACTATGAGTGGGGGCAGTGACGAGCTTCGAAAGATCATGTGCCAGACAAAATTTAAGGAACTTAGAAGATGAAGCCGGCTTTGCTTCCCTAACGGTCATATTATCCCAATCAATTAGCGGAAGCTTCAAATCTCCCATAAAAATAAGGCCACAGTTTTGCTCACTCAGAATATTATCGAGAAACTAGAGTAGATCTATAAATGCAGCTAAACTGCACGAGGGGCTACGGTAAACAACGATGAGATAGAGGTCTTGGCTTTTACATACTATTTGTGTAATAAGACATTGACAGAATTCACTAAAGTTTCAT